GTCAGAAAATAAATTTCAGTTCCTTGGGGATTTTTACTTACATATTTATACCCTGCTTTTCTTCTCAGTGGGGACCCAAAGTTGCTTTGCAACATCATTATCCCCTAGTTGTAACTACCACCACCACCCTGTAAGGTAGGTTAGGCTACCTCAAGACAGCAGGAATATTCTACTTGAATACCAGCATTTGTCCTAATGCTGTGTCTAGTTCATGAGGGATTTGATTTCCAGTGAAAAAACTGGGATTTCAAGGTGGAGGAGAAACCCTGCTATTTAAGTACGATTATAACAGTACAATCTGTAGAGCACAATGTGTTTGTTCTACTCAGTTTATTGGGCTTCTCCTACCTGGAGAACTCCACGGTTACGGCTCATATTTGACTGTGCCTCACTATAGGTGTGCCTTTATGTTGGTGTTATAACAGTACAATCTGTAGAGCACAATGTGTTTGTTCTACTCAGTTTATTGGGCTTCTCCTACCTGGAGAACTCCACGGTTACGGCTCATATTTGACTGTGCCTCACTATAGGTGTGCCTTTATGTTGGTGCGCCTTAATGCCCTACCATGGCCCCGGGCACACGGGCCGGAAAATGCAGGGGGGAGGCGTGGTTAATTGCCCCGGAGGAAAATAACGTGCGGCAGCCTGGTCAGAAGTCCTTTCGAGGTCCCGTGGGTAGGCGTCAGGTGCAGATCAGACGGCTAGTCCGCAGCGTGGCAAAGAAGGAGCATGGCGCGTTCAAACCGGCACTTGCGCTGCGCTGCTCCTGTGGCAAACGCTGCTTCCTGTTTGTGCACATGCGCCATTGGGCGCTTTTCCGCATCCTGCGGAGACTTGGGGGGAAATCCCCTTGGTCGTGACGGAACATCAGCAGCCGCCAGATGCCACGACAGTCCACCGGCAACGCGGTCAGACGCCCGCCTTTGCCCCGCGGTTTCCGGAAACTACTACCTCGTAGGTACTAGTTTTTAACTCCGCACCTTTGGCAGGGAGCCACGGGTTCGCCACAAGAGCACTGGGCTTCCCAGATGTTGGGGTGTGATTGCACCCGGAAAATCTGCGGGACTCCCGTGCCTCTCCCGCGGCAACTTTGCCATGTGACCGGGGCCCATCTAGAGTTTTGCAAGGGCGGTATCTTAAGATACCATACTCTGGCCCCGGTCACACGGGCCAGATATCGCCGGGGGGGAGGCGTGGCTGTTTGCCCCGGAGCAAACTACTGCGCGGCTGCGGGATCACACGTCCCGCCGACGTCCGTTGGTTGGGGGGGAGCCCGGGGAGGTGCCAATCAGACGGTGCAGCAAAGAAGCGGTGCTGCCGTGGCAAACGGGGTTGTTGGTTTTTTTTAAACCCAAGTATGCGCTTGCGCTGTTGGGTGCTTGTGCGCATCCTGTGGAGTCTTTTTTTTAAAAAAACCTTCTTTGTGACGGGACATGGGCGGGCGCCGGATGCCACGGGATTCCACCAGAAACGCGATCAGGCGCCCGCCCTTGCCCCGCAGTTTCCGGAAACTAGTACCTCCGAGGTACTAGTTTTTTACCCCACATCTTCGGCAGGAAGCTTCGGGTTCGCCATAGGAGCTCTACACTTCTCAGATGTGGCGGTGTGATCGCGCCCAGAAAATCCACCTATCTTCCGTCTCTGTAGCGTGCCTAATGCTCCGTGTGACCAGGGCCTATGATAGAGTGTGCACCAGTGGTGCAGGTAATGTCAACCTTTGAATGTAATAATTTTTCTAGAAATCTTTTAATTCTTCCTTTGCTCCAAAATATAGATCATATGGAGACATTATGTCTTTTATTAAAAGATAATAGCAGACCTATCACTCTTTTAGTTGCAAAATGTTATGCATCTGTGATAGATTTTCGCAGCCATTCAAATGGGGTCTAACCTTTTCTATATTTTAGTAATCTGCTTAAAACTAATAGTTAAGAATCAGTATAAAGTAGAGCGAGAGATAATACTCTTTGGTTACAGTAAGAATACCTTTTTTAAAAAACACTCTTTTCTGCCGGTTACTCTGTCCAGTATTAATTGCCAAGGGTATACAGCATCTACACTGTAGTTGCCTATATTAAAATTTCCGTGAATACAGATGATCAGTTTAAATGGATTCGTTTTCTGCAATACAGATTGTACGTTTGTCTCAATTCCTGCAGTTGTGCTGCTTGGGGAATATATATTCTTGTGTATTATAAACCTTGGGGTTTTTACCAGATGTAAGACATGTCCCTGTTCCCCACATGGTTGGATGTTCATCTGCGTTAGTACTCTCTAGCTGGAAATGTTAAATTGGAAAGGTATTTCCCCCAAGGTTTTGTGGCTAGGGCCTTCTTTTAAGGAATCATTTGTCTTCCCTAATTCCTCTCCATGATCGGATTTCACAATACGAAGGGTTGTTTGTGGTCATGAAAAATTTAAATGCTTGCAAATTTTGTGAGGGCTTTTGTTTGTTGGTGTGTTTTCTTTACTAAGAGATTAATCTCTCTGAAGTTTTGTTCATGTGTTGTGTGATGCATTGGTTGATGATGTGTCTCTCTGTGTGTATACTTAATTTTGATTTGTGTAGTGTGAATCTCTGATTTCCCCCCCCCCCAATTTTTCAGAGGTGGTGACCATAAGTTTATACATAAACAGTCAAATGAAATATTTTTTAAAAAATGCACTTGAAAAGAATGTGCAAGGGGGTAATTTAAATTATACAGAAGAGTATTTAACTGGCACCAACTATTTACTTCTGTTAACTATCTACTTACTTTATACAAAAGCTAAACAGGAAGTAATGACAAAGCAATGCATGGAGGGACAAGTACAACAAATGTATTCATGGAAAAATAAAAGTCTCTAAGGGAAAAGCAAAAGCAACTATTGAATATCACAGTATCAGTCAAGGTTTTCCACATTGTACCACATTTGCATGCACTGAAGAACTGAGGAAGATTTCCCCCATTTTACAAGTGGTGGGTTGAGTCATCCATGTTCACCCTAGATTAGGTGCTGCATGCCACTGTTTTGCCTCTGTTACATTATCTCACCAGCAGTTATGCAGATGTAGTATTTTAAGTCTCTTACACTGTGTTTAAGAAATTGGGGAAAGGTTGCATTATAGGAATGAGGCAGCATACTTCCTCCGCATGCAAATTGCTCTTTTACGTAATTATAATTAAGTTATACCCTAAGGCATAGGGTGATGTGGGTCTAAGCTGTCTATGGTTAAAGCTGACTAGCTGCTAAGCATTAAGGTCACACTATAGAGTTAAAAGGGGTTTTGTTTTTTTGTTGTTGTTTTTTGCAGTGAACAGAGCAGAAGCAGTTCCCTCTTTCTTTCTCCCTTGGCTTTCTCTTTTCAATTTCCACCCCCTTCTGGGAACTTCAATTTTTAGGAGGGCCTGAGGCATTTTTTGCAAGTGAGGTGTTGATATGGCAAGATGCTGTACAGACAAGCCTATGAAGATTTGGATATTTTATTCATCCACGCCTGGAGTCATAATGACCGTTTAAGCTGAAAAGTGTGTTTCTAGTACTTCATCCAAAATGTGTTTCCTTGGTACTAATTCAATGAATCACCTTCTTAATGAGATTGGAATTGAAATGTTAGCTGTAAACAGAAATGCTGAAGCAATGCCATGAGTCAGAGTGCAAGAGGTACCCATCTACAGCTATTTTTTCTACTCAAAACTGAGTCAGTTGCAGAAGTGTTTTTTGTCTCCATTACTTCTGTTCTGTGGGAAGTTACTATTAAATATATTGAAATAAGTAGTCCATTTCCATGCCTTGTATTTAGGATAGTGTAAATGGTAGTGCTAAAACCTTTCTTTCCCCAAAGACTTGCAGTCTGTAAAATGGATGTGGATCAAGTGGTTTTCCTTCTATTTTTACCAGTAAACACATCTAAAGATTTCAGTATGAAAAACTCTATCTATGTATTTGACTGTGCTATTTTGGCATCTGACAGAAATTGGCTTTGAAATGATGCAAATTAATGCCCTATTAGCAAATCTCATATTGTAAAGGAATAAACAAGTTTGCATAAATGAATCCTCCAGTGAAATATGTTATTGACAAGTAATCTTTTTATTCTGCATGCTGGAAGGGAAGAATAGGGTTTGATTGTTTGTTTCCACATAGCTAATGCAAAATATGGATGCAATCCAGTTTAATTTTATAGGAGTAATTGACAAGATGTCAGTAGTGCAATCCTTACCAGAGTTGTACCCCTCTAATTCCATTGAAGTCAGTGGGCTTAGAAGGATATACTCTGTTTAGGATTGTGCTGTGAAGTGCTTAGCCTTTTAGCAAGATTGCATCCTACATTTGCTGTTATCACTTAACACTGTGTTGATTTTCAGAAACCATAATGAATTGGATAAGTAATATTTTGCTATATCTGAGACTCCATAAGTCTGTGTTCACATAAGTCTGTATGCACCTAGAGCTTTACAAATATTCCCTTTTGCTATGATGGAGCTGTTAATACATCCCTTGAAGTTAATGGGGAATCCCAGGGAAGTGAAGGCCTCCTTTGCTTCCCTGGCTTGTACAGGATGAATTTTTGAGTGAATGGCTTTCACTAATACAACAGGTATTATCTTTACCTTTATAGGTACAGTGGACTTCACACGGTTCTCAGTAGAAACCTGTTTCTCCCTAACCCCTCTGCACATGCACAGATAGTATGATAGATTGTTACTGGAAATGGGAGGTCTGTTTTGTACCTGCCACGGATACATCATACCTTTTCATCTGCTAAATCATGTTCTGTCATAAACGGGGGGAGGCTTAGTGGGGGTACAGGGGAATGCATATAGACTTCTGGTTCTCTAGACTGCCTTAACACTGTACAGGTGTAAGTCTGAGAGGATGGAAAGGAAAAAGAGGCCTCTATTGAGCCCTATAGGGATTCTTCTGTGTGCAAGTATTGATCATGCCTTATGTGATTATAAAATGAAAAGTAAACTTTTGAGAAGACTTAAGGCTTGTTTTTGTTTCCTTCTCTATAGCTCTACTGAAAAATCATTTCCCTGGAGATCAGCAGGTACAGTTGTTTCTATGTATGGTGTACATCTAAATTGCAACAGATTTCTTAAATTTCACTCACAAGTTAATAACTATGCTAACTCAAATTGGTATGTTTTGTTGAATGCAAGTTATTATTGATTTATCCATGTAGAAGTAGTTTATCCAATAAAATACTTTGAATGTTTTTAATATACATTTTTGCAAAAGTAGTGTTTGGATGAATCTGTAAGGTTTGCTTTTAATGTATATGTGGTTTAAGTGATCATAGCTTCTTTAGCACCCACAGTTAGCAATGTGGAAGAGGTGCATACTGCTTATCACTTCTGTGCAGGGAAAAAATTTGGCCATAAGTGCATGGTCTATTTCAGTACAGAGCACTGCTGTCTACAGTGTGCATATATGAGATACATGGTGTCATTGATGGTGTTACTGCTGTGTCAGTTAAAGTGACTTATGTGGTACATATGGCTACAAATTACAATAATGTAAAGCTGCTATTTGAAGTATGTTGTAATGCAGATGTTTTCAAACAGTGTTCCATAAGGATCAGTACTGAAGGATAATTTACATGAAAGAGAATATGTGTGCAAGTACCATCTTTTTCTCTGTACTGCACATAATTCATAAGAACCATAATGAATCGTGTTTGTAAGAGTTCAGCACCGTTGTCCCTTGAAACTTTCAGTAATGAGCACTACATACCTGCGAGAGAAGTAATCCGTGAAAGTAGAATATGTGATGAACTGAAATAACTTTCTGAAAAGGAATAGCTACTCTTTTTAACAGGAGCAAAAAAAATTTCACAGCAGCCTGCAAACACCTTTTACTCCAGTCATCTTTGGACAAGCCCATCCTCAGATATCTTCAATGTTTAACTCCGGTACAGAGGGCTAAGGAAGGAACCCACAAGGATATAATGAAAGTAGCAGCAGCACTCCTGATGGATATTCCACTGGACATGATTGCGGATGAATGGAAACTTGAAGATGAAACTGCCAGTGCAACTTGTTGCATAGATACATACTGGAATCAGTTCTTTGAAAAGACACACCCATCTGGAGATCCAAAATACCCACTGGTTACCAAGGCGGTGAAAGCAGCATTATCTTTATTGCATGGTAGTACGGACATAGAAAGTGGGTTTGCAAAAACTAGTCACGTTTTAACCAATGAAAGGGCCAGCGTGTCAGAAAGAACGTTGAATGCCCACCTAATCGTCAAAGAAACTTTATATCATGTGTATGACAACAATGTATACCATGTTAATATCACACAGGAGCTTTTACAGATGGCAAGACCAGCTCATGTTCATTACAAGCAATATTGTGATGAACAGTGTGTCATTAAAGAGGAGCAAAAAGAAAAAGAAAAGAAAGAAGGGGAAAAGGCTGAGGAGTTAGAAAGGTTTAAGAAAATAGAGAAAAGGATAGTATATAAGAGAGGGAAGCAAAACTGAAAAGGTTGAGACAACAGAACGAGAAGAGGATGATTGCTTGAATGTTGCCAAATGATGCAACCAAATGTGTAAAGGAGGCTGCTGAGAAAAGGGATTCAACACAGCACAGCTCATGCTAGAAGGAGTGGAGAAAGCAATGGAAGAAGAGGGCAAGAAAAAATGCTTGCGGATGCAGTGCAGAAAACTGTTGAGAAACTAAAGAGTTCGTTAACTCCCTTTTCCATCAAAGAACCAAAGATTAAAAGAAAAGACAAGTCTTACCTTACAGTAATTATGTTTTGTTGTTATAATGATTACTTTATGTGAGGTTTTTAATATGTTTTGCTGTTTTATTATCTACAGTACGTGATCATTTTCAAAAGGGAATCTTTTTTTGCCTTAATTTTGTACAATAATGAAAACACTGTCCTTTCTTCATTTTAAAAAATTCAATAAAAAGGTGTGAGATCCTTTTATCTGGATCACAACTGACTATGGGGCTGGCTATGGGGATGGTGGAGGCCAGATAATGATCATTTTTAATGAAGTCCTAGTTTTATTTTAAAAACACTAGCTTATCAATAGGCTGACATTAAATTGTTCAGTAATTTGTTAGGTTTTTGTCAGTATTTGATCAGGGTTTTTTTTGGAATTTTGGTCAGTAGAATCAGTATTCTTGACCCTCTGACTGGTTTCCACCCCTGCGCCCAGCATCCAGAGCAATGCAGAGTTTTCCCAGAGAAGGGCTGCTAGGAGTGGAAGAGAGGGAAAGGTGAAGCCTGGGAGGCAAATAAAGATGGTTTGGATGGTGGTCAGAAGGAAGCAGGAAAAGGAGAAAGGTTTTGGCAGCTTTCAGGAAAAGGGAAACGAGATGCCCTTCACAACAAGTCCTCATGGGTTCCCTGCTTGTTATACGAGGGTGAGTCAAATGAAAACCTTAAAATGGCAATAAAATCCAGAAACACTGTGCCATTGTCTGTAAGTTGGCAGTATTTTTATCAATGACATAAGGAATGTCCTACAGGTAGCAGCAGAGTGCAGACAAGCAACACGCCATCACAGTAGCAGTGCGTAAAGACGGCCACCCAACTTGAGACATGCACCAAAGAGGTCATCCATTTATTTGTTTAGTGAAGGGAGTAAACTTCCTACTCTGCTTGTACACTTTCTGCAGTGACAGACATGCATCACCATATTGCAGCTTCATTCGTTGATGAATTACAATAGATTTCACTCCCTCACTACTCAGAAAGCGGATGACAGAACGCTGCTCCTCTTTGGTGCATGTCTCAAGTTGGGTGGCCGTCTTTACGCACTGCTACTGTGATGGCGTGTTGCTTGTCTGCACTCTGCTGCCACCTGTAGGGCATTCCTTATGTCATTGGTAAAAATACTGCCAACTTACAGACAATGGCACGGTGTTTCTTAATTTCATTTGACTCACCCTCGTAACATAATAATTTACATGAGGCATACAGTACCTGTGTACAGATTTCCCATTTTGCTTATTCATAAAGAGGTCAAAATGAAAGCCATAATACTAATTCATAAGCCCTTCAAACAGCATATAGTGAACTTGAAAGTCTGTTAAAAGGTTTGCTAGTAAGAGAAGATGCTAGGTTTTTTTTATGCAATAACTATAAATCATGGGGGGTTTTCTGCATTCAGGTTGGAATCCTTTGAGAATAGAAGTAACAAGTGTACTTATATAAGAATTTATATGTATATTTTGTTTTACGTTTTTTGTAACATTTACCTTATCCGTTTTTAAAACTACAACATTTTTGGGTGGATGAAAGCTAGGAAACAAATTTAATCCTGACAAAATGGAAGTTTTACTGTTGTGGGGGAGGTTTGAGCCAGGAACTTGGGATATCTCCTGCTCTAAATGGAACAGGTTCTTAGCTTGGGGGTGCCGCTAGACCCGGGCCTCCTATTGGATAAATAGATGGACAGGGGTGCCTTCCACCAGTTTTGGCTGGTGAGCCATATGTGGCCATTCCTGAATGGAAAGATCTTGCCACTGTAGTGCCTGCCCTGGTAACCCTGGTAAAAGGGTTGGGAGACATCTAGTATAGTGCTGGCAGAAAAATCATACCGAATCTGACAGATCATGCTATAGAGCTCATTGTAAGACCAATGAAGGCGCAGTAACGTTGGCAAAGAAAGGTTTCTCCTCTACTATTATAACATCAGCTAGTTCACGTTCATCCCAATTATTCAAGTTAACTCAGCATCTGCTGATGCCTAAATCTGAGCCTCTAGGAACAATTAGCTGTGATACTTTTGGCGAGTTTTTTGTTCCACCATGATAACTTTGCTCATGTCAGCAGGGGCTTATACAGGTGGCAACCTGCAAATGGGCAAAATCAGCAACTGCCCATACACATGCTTTCTCCATTGTGGTTCCCATCTTACTGAGTGGCCTGCCCAAGGAGATCAGGAAGGCTTTCCACAAACTATGCAAAACTGAATTATTCAAGGGAGATTTTCTGTGCAGGCAGTAAGGCTACACTGTACAAAATGGTTCACAAACTTACTTGGAATTGCAATAGTGTTGTCAGTGATTAGAGACTGTGATCTATACTGCTGTGCATAGCTTATTGTGAGTAGGTTCTTATCCTGTAATTTTTGTACCACTTAACGTGCATTGTTAGTTGATAGCCAGTTTGATGTAGTGGTTAAGTGTGCGGACTCTAATCTGGGAGAACCGGGTTTGATTCCCCACTCCTCCACTTGCAGCTGCTTGGGCAAGCCATAGCTCTGACAGAGCTGTCCTTGAAAGAGTTCTCTCAGCCCCACCTACCTCATAGGGTGTCTGTTGTGGGGAGGGGAAGGGAAAAGAGTTTGTAAACCACGGGATATAAATCCAATCTCCTACTTCTCCTTCTTCTTCACGCTATGCTTCATTTCTTTTTTGGAGGTTTTAAAATCCTAATGCATTGGTTATTAAATGTCCCATTTTGTAGATTTTATTGACTTATTATGTTTAATCCACCTTGATTCCCTGTGAGAAAGGCAGACTATAAATTTATTTATTTATTTATTTAATCCAATTTATACCCCGCCCTCCCCGCAATGCGGGCTCAGGGCGGCTTACATAGGGGCAAACGCCAATATAAAACATAATTAAAACCATTTAAAATCCAACAGTACAAAACATTCATAACGAGTTACTGATTAAAGTGCTCTAGGTGTTCAACATGAGATTTCAGAGATGGCATATTTCTACTGTTCAGCATCGTCTGCTCCAGGGAAGCATTGATGTTCCCTCATCCAGGGCCAGGTGAAGATGGAATAATGATGATAGATAAAACAAATACATACAAAATAAAATCTAGATTACTGGAATGCACTCTGCATGGGGCTGCCTTTAAAGACTGTCTGGGAACTACAGTTGGTACAGAATGCTGGGGCCAGAATGGTGACTAGGTCATAGCGACCATACCACTCCAGTCTTGTTCAATCTATACTGGCTCCCAGTTTTCTTCTGGGATCAATTCAAGGTGCTGGTATTGACTCTTGAAACCCTGTATGGCTTGGGGCCAGCATACCTGAAGAACAACCTCCTCCCATATACA